GTAGGAAGAGTTTAGAGAATGTTATTTCTGTGAAAGGAGGAGCTACTAAATATTGAGTTAATTTTTTTTTATGGTGCCCAAATTTATGCACCTGTCTAATTTAGTTTAACCAATTATTGCACACTTTCTGTAAATCATATAAACTTCATTTCACTTCTCAAATATCACTGTGTTTGTCCCCTTTTTGATATATTTAACTGGTATTTTCAATCCAAACAATCAATGATTTATAAAGGTAAATCAGGAAAATTAACAAAGGTGCCCAAACTTTTTCATATGACTGTATGTACGTTTATGACCCATCTTGATGAGTTGCTTAGTCAGCCTCTTATTTTTAAATAGAATTCAACTTATGACACTTTTGAAGCCCCTGTTTAGGTGGGCCACCATGTTTATTACAGCTTGTGAAGACAAAAATTGAAACGTTGTCCTGTGATGGACTTGTGACCTGTCCAGGGCCCCATTTCAGAAAGTGGGATAAGTGAAAATCCTGAGTAAATTCTGGGGTAACTGTGCATATCCAGGGGTTTCAGTTTCAGAAAGTCAGATAGCTGTTTTCCTGAGTCATCTTACTACCACAACTTACTCCGTGAACCAACTCTGCTCTGTAGCAGGATTACTTGAACAAATCCTGAGTTTGTCACACTTTTTAGCTGAGAGCTGCACGAGGACAGTGTCAGACAGGATGTGTTGTTTTCTAGAGTAGACTGCAGATACGTATAATACTCCACAGAAATCTATGTCGGGAGAGGGTCATAAGACCACAGTTAGACGTCTCATCATTTCTGGATGAATATCTGAACAGTTGAACAGTCTCAAAAGGCTTTATTCCCAATCCGACTCCTTTCAGCTCAACAGCTGTACAAGCTACAGGCAGCAGTCAGGCCTCACTGTAAGGCAGAGGTGGGCAATCCTGGTCCTCGAGGGCCGCAGCCCTGCATGCTTTACTTGCTTCTCTGCTCCAACACACCTGATTTGAATGAATGGATGATTATCATGATTATCATGATTAACTCATGTAGTCTGGAGGACCGAAATGGCCACATTTAGAAATAAAAGCAGAAATATATAAATGAACCACTAAATAAATACACTTAAAATGCACCAGTTAACAAAGGAGAACTTTATCTCATGTTTTTTTGTTTGAAATGACTTTAATATTTATTTTTCTGGGTTAGTTTCAATAAATTAGTCTATATATTTCAACACATAATTTAAATTTTACAGTTTTTTATCACATGTTTTTTTTTCCTTTTACTTCTATGCATTTGTGTCTCTTAAATGTTTATACTTAACTATTTTTATA